GGGAAGGGTTACAGATGTGGCAGTAAGGAGTCATGTGTCACCTCTGAGGGACAGATGTCACTAGTATGCCGAGCAGAAGCCAGAGGACGAAAGGCTATGGGTCAAAAGAAAGTGGAAGCAGTGAAAATACATTAATTATTTTGAAAAAACAAAGAAGAAATATCCTGCCAAGAAGAGGGGAGAGGTCAGAGATGTGCAGGGTATGATAAGAAAAACGGTGAATGTTTAAAATTAAAAATAATTATTACAATAAAAGACATTGCCATTAACCTCCTTCAAGCTCCTCCCCCCTGCATCGGGCACACTTACCCTATTGTTCTAGCCACTTTCTGACGCAGTTCTGGAGTTCTCTTTCCTGAATGTCTTCAGTTATGCTGTTCTGGTTGGGTCAGCGTCTTGAAATGATTCAAAATGTATCCTTTTCATGGTCATTTTGGCTTCTGGAAGGTGCCATTTCCAGTGAATGAAGTGAATGAGGAGACACTTGTCATATTATGACAGAAGTTTCCATAAAGCAATTTTTCAAGGTGGTATGATTAGAAAACAAGGTGAATATTTAAATAATAAAGGACAGATTGTTGTTAATCCTCTTCAAAATGCTCCAAATACTCTCCCTTCCTTCAAATACACTTATCCAACCATTCTTGGAAATGTAATTTTTAAAAAATCTAATCATCCACTGCAGAGCTGGTACTGCAGTAGCCAGAAAAGGCAACAGGCAGATGGTGAGGCAGATCAGTGAGAGTGGCTGCGGAGGTCGCGAGGTGAGAACCAGGGTGCTTGCTTTAGCACAAGCCTCATCTCATTGCATGGAGGTGTGGCAGCAGCCTGTTCCGCAGGGTCAGAGCGTGTTGAGCTGGAAGGCACACAGAGCACTCCGTGAGTTTCCAGGGAAGGTGGGACCAGTCAACATGGCCTGTCCTTTGTACAGTCACTAGGGATACCAGTCACACTGTTTGCATGTGCTATAAAGCAGCAGTAACAATTGTAATCTTTTCAAGTAGCATTTTGGAGTCCTGCCTTTTATTTACACACCTACTTCCATATTCCTAACTCCTACCATTACTACAACATCTCAGCCATCCCTCCCTGTTCATCAAGGGCGCCAGCACCGCTTCAGTCCACTTCCTCTGGGCTGCAGTCACTTGGGGACCCCGTGCCTTACTTCACGCTCATCATTTCCAAGGTCTGTCCTCCCCTGGTGGTGCCCTCCCACCACCCTTCTCAGGCTGTACACTGTCCTTAGATAATGTCTTTCCTTGCCCAAGCCTTAATTTCTACCCATTTGTCAATGACTGCAGTTCAGACCTGCACTCCCCGCTGTAGGCTGTCTATCCCGTGGCCTACCAGACATCACCCCCAGATGTTTTAGCAGTTCTCTACTCCCAACTTCCAAACTCTAAAGGAGACTCCCACACAAAACTGGCCTCAGTCAGAGAACGGCCCCACCTTCCCTCCAGTCATACAGTCTGGCAACTTAGCTGTCATCCTCAATGCTCTCCTCTCCCATGTGTCCCTGGGTTTAAATCCTGACCCCCTCCCATCACTTCAGACTCCAAATGTCTCACCTGTCCACCCACTCGTTCTCACCTTTAGCCACCTTCCACAGCTTCACCCATCCTGTCAGCTAAACTCCAGAGGTCTCCCAGCTGGTCTCATTTCACCCGCTCCTGCCACAGGCTCTGGCACCATCATGTTCTTCCTATTGTAGCCCTGGAGATTTCAACTTTCATAGTGAAAATATGATCTCATTGACCACCTGCTTGAAGCCATTCAGAGGCTTATCATTTCACCTAGGATGAATTCCAACATCTTGACTAAAGCATCCTGCTAATCATTACAGAAGACTCATCCCTCTGTCACCTGATTTGAGGCCTGGTTCCCCAGCCAGCTCTTTGCTCCTTACTGACGTGTCTTTCAGCTTATTTTCCACGTGCTCTTCAATCCTGCCACACTCAATATCAGTCAGCCGCTCTCATGTCCTGGGAAGAGCATTCTCTAGCCATAAGACTTCCTGCCCCCATCTGGAATCTCTCACTGACTTGGAAAAACGTTCTGTAAGGGCTGATACCTCCCTAGGACTGTGTCTGCTCCAGGTGGCCAAAGCCACATGTGTCTTGCCTTTAGTGGAATCCCTAAGAGTCAGCCTCCTGGGGGAAATCAAAGAAAGGGATATAACAGAGATATAATAGAACTAAGGTAGCTGTGCCGCATCTCTCCAGAAACAGAGGAGTAAAACAGGGACCACCTCTCCAGGAATGCTGGAGAGGACAGCGTCTTGCCTCAAGACTCAGGGTGCTTGTATGGTCTCCCTGATAAATTGCTCAGGCTCTAGTATTAGGTAGGGCATAGCAGGGTCTAGCCAGGCAAGGCAGCACTTCTGGAAGCCAGGGTCAGCCTCTGCTCCCTGTAGGGGCTCTTCCTGGGCACGTGAGAGTCCCTACTACACTGTGGCTCTGGACACATAAACTGTGCTGCTCCCCTAGGGCTGTGCTCTGACACTGACTAAGGACTCTGGAGTGGGTACTGTACTTCCGACACTGAGCTGGGTGGGGCATCAGGTGATGCTGGGCACCCTAGGGCAGGCTACCTAACATCCCCATATCTCCATTCTTTTCACATGTAAAATGAGCATAACCAAGAATCACTTGTAGCTCATAAGCTGTGGTGAGGATGACGGGCTGCACTTCAGTAATGTCCTGGACCAGTGTCGGACAGATACCTTATGTTCTGTAGGTGTCAGAAATACTATCATGCTCTTGGGCCTTTAAACGGTGTAGTTGAGCTGGGCTACCTAAGTAAATAAAGAGTGCTCTCGTGGGTGTCTTCATGGTACACTTTTGAGGGGAAAAACGAGGCAGGCTTCTTAGTCCTATTACCCACTTAGAAGACACACGTGGTCTGCACCGTACTGCAGCACTGTAAAGTGGTCACACAAGCTGAAACTGCAAAGCCATCTTAATATCAGGATAAAATTACACTCATTCCGATACCTTTAACATTTTCTGTCAAAACATTCAGGACTCTTCAACAACACTTGATAAATATATAGGGTGTCAAAATAGCAATTTCACGACACAGTGATTCACAATAGACAGGTGAAATCTTCTTTTTCTTTCCTTGTGAATCAAGCACTATCAAGAGCAGGGCTGGGAGATGGCTCAGCAGCATGAGCTCCTGCCTGGCAAGCGCAAGGGTCTGAGTTTGAGTAGTTAAATACATCTTGCTTCCATTTTTTTGTCCTATTCCCTTTAAAGAGCCATCAGCTCCCAAGATGTTAAGCTTTGCACTGTGAACTTTCTGCACTATAGCTGGAAATTCCTTTCATGTGGCATTTTCTGCTGGTGCCTCTTCCTCTGAGACACCTTCCTCCTTTTTATTGTGATCACTTTTCTCACTTAATGCTTTTAACACTGGTCTCAGTTTTTACCCATGTACACAGAAGCCTCAGTGGTCCTGCCTATCACGGCCAGATAGCACATACCCAGAATGATGTAAAAATTTCACTTCAGGGACTTCAAAACCTAAAACACCCTCACCCTCAACATAACCAGTGCAGACACTCACTAACAGAGGAATGAAACGCGAACAGATCTGAGGCTAGCTGTTTGGTCTCAGCAACACAACAAAAATGCCCAATCTATGCACACATATTTTCAATACCTAGCACTTAAGTGCTGATTGTTACTTACATGGTAAATAATAGAATGAACTAACAAAATGAAAAAACAATAAAAACAATTCACCTATGATGTGAAGTTTCTATAGCTGCAAAAAAATGTTCAAAGGCCTTGAACCCTTCCAAGTGCACAAGGAGCTACAACATCTTATTCAACATGTCAGGGAACTGGCAGAAACCTGACGTCCAGTAAAAAGTCTTGGCTATGGACATACGATTTCTATTACTAGGTAAAACCCAGCTAAAGTCTGTTTCAGAATCAGAGCAAGTCTCCCATTTTTAAGCAGTTCCTAAGAAAAGGCAAAGCTAAGAGTACATTAGGTGTCACTAGAAACGGGTTCTTCACTGCCTGAGTTTACTCAGCCTAGGCTTCTTTCAACTACCATGCCTGAAACTCTTCTGATAGTATAAATTTGTGAAACCTGGCTGGAAAGACGGACTCAACACACATTGTTGTGGAGAAACACAGAAGAACTAGCAAACCAAGCTGAACAGCAACTGTCTCACACAGGATGACACTTCCTGGATGAGGTGGCTGGGTGGCACCTGGTCCTGTTGCTGCTGACATCTGTCTGTCCTCTCTGTCTTCCTTTCTCCAATTACTTTTCTTTCTACTCTCCCTTCACTTGTTCCCTTCCTATTTTCCTCCTTCTACCTCTCATGTTAACCCCGATGGAGACTACTTAATCCAGCCCATGGCATGAAAGATTGTAGGTCCCTGTAAAAGTTCCCAGAGAAACTTGTCCTGTGTGTTTGAATTCCACAGACAACTCAATAGCATGCTCTAAGAGCATCCAACAGTGTCCATGAACTTTGTAGGAATGTACTTTTGGGGAAGTAATTTTGATCAAGGGAGGTGATTTGTAATTTGCTGATTTTTTTAAATTGATTTTTTTTCAAGGAAAGATTACCTAAACAAAATAAGCTGACAAAGCCATAAAATGATTCCTCCTCTGGTATAAGCTTCATCTTCTTTTATTTTGGTACACGATTCAGCTCTCAATTGCAAATGCACGTCACTCTACCCTCTCAAGGGCAAAATGATAAAGTTCTATCACACCACGTGTCTAAGAGAACCTGAGACTACCAAGGTCAGAAATGCTGCACTTCAAGCCAAAAGATGTTTGAGGCTTACTTGTTTTGACTTGTAACTACAAATTTGTTTTGCCTGATCATATTATAAAACAAAGTATGATCTCTCCAGCAGCATCCTCTGAGGCAACAGCAGCCATAGAGGAACCTGCGAGGGGATTCTCTCACTGCTCTGCCTCTTGATTTCCACAGAGCACTCACTGCTGCCTCTGATGCCCAGCGGTGCAGCATGGTTCTGGAAATGCTGAACCAAATGCACTCTAACATCACCAGCATGATGCCCGAAGTCATGCCCATGGCTGCCATGCCAATCCTGCTGCTTGTGGGCTTCCTCCTTTTGATGTGGAACTGTGAGAGCACAGCCTCAATTCCAGGTCAGTTGCTTGATTATTTCTGCATTAGGATGCTGTTTAATTGGTCCATGATGACAAGGAAAATTCGACAAAAGTACAAAAGCAAACCTGCTAAGGTCATGGAAAATCACAGCCATGGTGGCAAAGCTGTACTTACATAAAAACTTACCCCAATTATCTACGCATTTTAAGTTAATTTCTGTTTTACAGGACTTTGGTAGATTTGGTACAGCTTTAGCTGGGGATAAGCAAGATAAAATTCTAGGGATTTAAATTTTTTTTAATCATTCAAAAAGGTGCAAATGTCTCTGGGATGCCTTCTAGCCTGCTGTCTTTCTTGTCCCTCAATGCCCCTTCCCACTCTTCCTTTCTTGTATTGGTTCCTTTCCTTCATCTCACCCTCCATCTTTCATAGTATCTGTATGGCAATGGTGGGATCGTCCAGGGGTTAACTGAGACCTGGGCAGTGGGAGAGTGCTGGGGATCATTTCTATTTCCTTGGGAGGTCACACTCCAAAATAATTGACAGTGCCTGTGTGTCCATCAAGTGGAGAACAATGTAACTACCCAGGTTATTCTCTACCCACTGTTACAGCTAGAATTATCTACTATTGGATTGGTTCTAAATTCTCAGATACTTCACACTGTTTCTGTAGTTTTCAGTGTCAATCCCTCATAGCAAGCATCTGCTCCCAGTTCTGTAAGATCCCACAAACTTTGTTACAAAAGCATATTCATTAGACACTTCTCTATGTGGTAAGCCTCAGGATAGGCTGATTGGTTTCAGAGCAGAGCCTGGTACAAAGTTCTCTCTCTGGATTATTGTTAAGCTTTTGAGACAGGGCATTACTATGCAGTTCAGGCTGGCCTTGAGCTCACTGTATTCCAGGCTAGTCCTGAACCTGCAATGATCCTCCTACCTCAGCCTCCTGAGAGCTGGGCTCATAGGAATGCACCACCATGCCTAAATGTCTGGATTCTTTTGAAACATTTCAAGAAAACTACCTGTTTGTTGATTCATCAGTGTAGGCTACTTCACTGTCCAGTAGAATGGACTAGTTAGTAAATGACCTCTCTGAAGTCATGTCTGGAAAAGGAAGCTGAGGGCTGAGAAAAGTGTTCCAATATCTTTAACTTGAACTCCCTTTTCCAATGTTCTTGTTTCTCAGTCAAGTTCTTCCCCCTGCAGTGGGCTATTCATTCAGGATCAAAGAATGTGAGGGTTGATATGAGTGGAGGAGGTGGTAGAATGTTTCTTCTTTCTTTTTCCTGTCACATGTTTGGGTGCTAAAGTCCAATCTAGCTGTATGATCAAATCATCCAACAAGCAGATAGAAGTCAACACTGCCCACACAAGAAGTAAACCAGAGGTTCTCAAAATTTAAGTATAAGAGTCACCTTGCAGGTGAGGGCTGGTTATCCAGACTATTGAGCTCTATTTCAGAATTTTGAATTAGACTCTCTAGGTCCAGGGACATCTATTTAGAAAAAGACTCACTGCTGCCATCCCTAGATGTTTATGCTGCAAACTCTGGTGGCACTACTGTAGAGCCCTGCATGAGAAGTGCCTAAGATTGGGAGAGGAAGCATGTTCCGCCTCTCCACCACTTCTGGGCAAGGGCATCTTGCTGTCACACACTGTCAACTAGATCTCATAGAGACACTACAGTGGTTCTTAGCCATGTCTAAGAATCCATGAAGTTCTTAGCAGGCCCCCAGATTGATATTTTAAAAACATTCCCCAAGTAGTTTTCATAGAAGCCAGTCAGGGTGGAGACCCACAGAGATGAACCCAGAATCTTCATCTGACAGAAAGGGGAACAGCCCCACAGAAGAGAAGTCGAGGAGTCCAGACCTCCGTTTGTACAAGTGAGGAACCGAAGTGCGGAGAAGAGCGACGCCAGCACCCAGACGGAGAGGAAGACAAGAGCGCAGGGCCCCACAGCTCACTCCGGCCCAGTCAGCGGGCACTGGCTGGTCAGCGTGCAAGAGCTGCTAGCTTTCACTCTGAAACTGTGGGGTCTAGTCAAGATTTCTCAGGCACAGACTAAGATCCTGCGGTTGTTCAGTAGGGTGGGAAGAAGAAAGTCAGTTTGGCAGGGTGTTTTCCTGAAAGGTTGTATTTATTTTATTTTTAATCTTTTATTTATTTTTATTAATTTTATTGAGACACAAATAGCAATGAGACAGTGTCAAAACTGATTAGTAGGACAGTTTCAATCATTAATACATTGCACATTGTTGTCTTCGTAGTGGTTATCCATAGTACAAGATGCAGACAGGATATCCTGTCCACACACTATTAGTACATATCTTTCTTCTCATTGAATTAAGAGAAAGTAGCTGTATATCTATCCTAACTATTTTGTATATACAGATACAAAGTGGTCCTTCATTTGTATCCTCTTTTTTTAAGTTTTGTCAGAGATGAGTTTTCCATTGCCGTTTAAATATTGTAGGTGCATGAATTCAGCAAAATAATCCAATATAGTCCAGTAGTCCATAATAGTAGTGGGTTATCCATAGGACTGGCAATGCCAGAAATTGTTGACTTTTACAGTTCAACATATTAATATGGCTTTACTTTTTATACCTCATTTTTATACTTTTCTGCTGGACGGCTAAGAGTAGGGTGATTTTTGCTGTTCAGTTCTTCTAAACTCCTACCATATCTCTTGAATCACTGTTCCTTGGGCTCATTGTTTTATAGGGCTTATAGCTCAGGCTTACTAAAGTCAAAGAGAGCTCAGAAGGCACAATAGTGGAAAGCGTGAAGTTGTAGTTCAGATGGCAGTTTCCCGCCTTCCTTCTCTGGTGAGGCTGACATATGGGTGCCTGTTTTCCAAATGAAGAACCTGAGACTCAAAGAAGGCTAGCACTGAACAGCTAAGAAGTGACGAAATGGGGACTCATCTGGAAGCTTCTTCACCTCTGTTTATGGGGCTTCAGAATTTGGCATGAGGGTGTCTCACTTCTATCTAAGGGGGGGATGTTTGTAGGCCTCAGGTGGGAGAAGTGCCCCAACCCCACTCATCTTTGTCCAACACGCACATAGCATGGTGTTTGGCAGCTCTCTCTTCCCTGTAGACACAGGGCCATCCCAACCTTAACCCTGGGTCCTCTGCCTCTGAAGGCCACACTCTGCCCTAGCAGCACATCCTCACAAAGGGCCCCAGGAAGAGGACATGCCAGCATGTTCCCCTTTTCCTACTAAGGAGGCACTTCCCAGCAAACTGCACTGTGTGATGGCAGGTTTGACATCATGATCCGGACTAAGAAATGGAGTGCAAGCAATATTCCAGGGATCCTCTTGTGCTTTTATGTTGCTCTCTCCCTTCCCCCTGGATGTAAATATTTTCCTGGGTTTTCTTAAAATTTTTTTAAAACAAATTTATTCGGTACAGGGTCTCACTATGCATCTCGGACTCATAGTGATCCTCCTGTCTCAGCCTCCCAGTTTGGGGATTACAGACATGTACCACCACCCCCAATTTCAGTGGCTAGAACAGCACACCCAGGGGTCTGGGGCTGGCATGGCATGCAGAACTGGGGATCGAACCCAAGGGGGAAAAAGAGCTAACGCTCTCAGATTGGACATTACCTTTGGAGACCCTGCTTCTCCCAGTTAAAAAAAAAAAGAGCTAACAGTCTTGCTCATTTTAACTCAGCTATTGCAAAAGGAAAGATGAAACACTGAAAAATGTAGGAGTAAATACACAGTTCAGAGGACCCCAGTGAAGGCATTCTAGATGGTAGGCAGTGCTGCCTCACACAATTGGGCAAGTTTTCCTTTCTAATTATTTCACTAACAGACAGAAAATGGAATTAAAGATTTAGAAAACTACTACTCTACAATTCTTAGGACCACTCCAAAATCTAGCTTTTTACTACCACTAGTAATATCAAACCACCAAGTTTCTTTAGTGAAATAAACACATCAGACTCCTCAGCTGTTCCCTGGACTTACATTTCTCTATAAGTCTGTCACTGTCTGCAGAAGCATGGATGTGACTAGAACTCCCTTGGCTAGAACCAGATCGTGGGACTCAAACTGCAGTCTAAAACCTGAGCCCATTCATTGCCTAATTCCTCAGCTCTTAGCTTTATTTTGTCATGTAAGTTTGAATTTGTTTCTTTTCTTAATCTTAGCTAAGAGAGAGAGACAGACAGACAGACAGACACACA